GCATCATACCTTACCAGCCCTACTAAACTACTTTGGTGTTACAAAGAGAGTAAAGAAAGCAGTGTTCCAAGAGGCGGCTTTGGTTGCTCTCAGATGTTCCTATGCAATCTGGTTAGCAAGAGAAAACAAGAAGTGGAGTCCCTGCTACAACATCGCACAAAGACCCATTGTTCTACCATCAACTGAGTGAGCTGAGTGTTGGGCCCTTAAAACATTGTTTAAAGCCACATCTGGAATCTCAAGTACCATGATCAGAGATGGAAGCTAAGCAGATACATAGCTATTTGTAATTTAAATGAATTTCTCGTAACATATTTGACATATAAATAATTATGTATTTCTTTAAAATTATATTTTATCGATTCAACTGTGGTTTTATTTGGTTTTTAAGTTAAGTCAGCAACCGTCAAGTACTAACACAGCTGTTACCGTAACTATACAGTATAATGTAAGTGTACTGGGACTATACAATGACGGTACAATGTATATGTTATTGAGTAACCGCGCCCTGAAAGTGCTCTCTAATTACGTTTCCATATATATCAACAATATTGTTAATACGTGAACATGTAAACTATACATTTAACGACTTCTGTTGTGTGATGAATGTGTTAAGTTGATACATCTGTATCATATAACGTGTTAGTATTAGTAGAGATAAGTGAAATTGAATGATGGGTTAAACTAAATAAAAATGTGTACCATAATAATAAAATCATATTGGACAGCAAAACTCACAGGGAGACTAAAGTGGAAAGAACTGCTGCTAACTGCTGCTAACTGCTGCAAATGGCGCGCGCGCGACAGCAGCAGGTAACAGCAGTTTCACATAGCCATGTGTATACGCGTACTGCGTGACGCGTTTTTTCAAAAGTAAAATATATTGCCGCCTTGAGCGGTCTGGTTAGAAAAAGTTTGCAAGTTTGAGGGATGTTAATCGTCTAAATTTCTTCGGAGTAGCGCACGCCGCTTTCTTCCCGATGTAAAGTGCTTTGTAGGTTTATAACCTACCAGTTGCTCTATCCAGAGCCCTTGCGCTTACAGTAGCGCGCGCCCGCCTCACGGCGCGCCCGAAGTGGCGCGAAAGCACATGGTTAGGTAAAACCTACCAGGACGCGCGCCGAGTTGGACTCGTCGACTGTTCCAATATATGGAACAGATATTTTACGAGTATCACCCGTTAACAAGTGCTACGAAGTAGCGCGCGCCGGGCCAGATCATTAACAATGGTCAATTGTTGATACATGTTTCGTATCCCCTTCGGCGGCGCGCGCTTCGCGCGCGAAAAGTGGCATGCAACGTATGTCAAGTCAATTGCAAGTTATCAGTGCTGATATTAAGAAACAACTTTTGAAGCTTAATATTTTTAACAGTTAAAACACTATTTTTGTCAGACGTTAAAAACGATTCCAATTATTTACAAATATTTACAAATATTTAGATGACGCCAAGCAAAATTTACCAAATGGGGTATATCTCCAAAAGTAAAATAAAAAGAACTTTCCGGTTTTCAACAAAATTTCCGTCTCGTGAATTTAACGTTCAACATTAGCTCCCTAGGAGCACAATTTGGGACAACGTAGATTTTGAATTAAACCGAAAAGTTTGATTTTGGGCTAAATAAAAGCTCGCAGCTTTTAAACTTTGCAAAATAATGTCGTTGTCATGACTACTAGGCCAAATGCAGCGTGCGAAAGGTGGACTTGATGTGACGCGCGAGGACAAACGTGCTATTGAAAATCTATCACCTCTAGCGAGCCCTGCCGGTGGTAAGGTTTTCTGGGCGATGATGAAAATCTAAAATATATGGCTACAATGATCATTTTTAATGACAATATTAATTCAATCCTAAAATGTGGTATGTACAATGTAATAATATTCAAAACGTCATTATATTACGAGTTGGACTCGTCGACGGTCCTGTCGAATATATGGAACAAATTTTTTACGAGTATCACCCGTTAACATTAATTTGATGTGTCAGTTGTTACTGGTGACTCATATTTTGGTGGTCGTCGTCGATTACACGCTATATGATGCCGTAAAAGTGGTATGGGTGTCTTTTCCTTTTTCTTAGTTACTCTCAGTGGCGTAACTTAGGTGTTAGGGCCCCGCAGACCCCGCTGTGCGGGGGGCGCCGTATAAGGGGGGCGCAATTTTCCTGAATTTTAGGCCCTTTCACTGAAAAAACGCCTTGTTTGTGTATTTCCCTGTCCAATTTAGCGTTCGGTCGACGCGAAAAAAATATTTGGGGTACCCTTTTTTGCTTCAGGGGGCGCAAAAAGCTGTAGGGAGGCGAGAAAAAAAAGTACCCGACTTTTTTTTTTTTTTTTTTAATTTTTTTTAGGGACACAAAAAATTTTAGGGGGGGGGGGGGCGCTTTTCGTCACTGAGCGGGGGGGCGCCAACAGGCAAAGTTACGCCACTGGTTACTCTGGCACTAAAATTTTGTTTTGCTCTCAATTGATTTCTCTTGACTGCAAACTCAAAACTACGCCATTCTTGATGAAATACTGTTCTGATAACAACGAATAAACTGTACCGATAACAGAGCGCTCAAATTCAACGCGCAAGAAAAACTATAGAAATATTTAGAAATAATCTTGTTTGTTTGGGCCCGGACGGTGCCGGTGGTTCTAATTATAATGACCATTTACTAAAATACATAAATACAAAATACAATATAGTATAAATATTATAATCAGAAGTTTTATAAATCCTATCCGTCCAAGTTAAACTTGAAGGGCGCTACACGCACGACGAAAACTCCCTTTAATATGAGCTGAAGTAGACTACTAGTAGTAGAGCTAGTAGCGCTTGAAATTGACAGAACTAAAAACGAAATCTGACAATTGTCGCGAAAACTGACAGTTTTGTGTGCTCAAAGTGTCGAGAAATACTGACAGTGCAAGACTGGGCACACAAGAGTGAGTTAAAACATCCTCCACACAACAAAAACTTGAATACACTAATAATAATCAATTATTAAAAACACACAAGCTCATTCTGCAGTCTTATTAGTCTTATCAGTACTCTTCATAGCACCGTTTCTGATAAAGTGTAGCTTATCAGGCTGCTCAGTTACCAGTCTTTTCATGTCCCTGACGAGTTCTCTTTGCTTGGCTCTCTGTTCTGGAGATCGATCTGGGCTGATAAAAACAGTTTTAAACTTTTCCGTTGCTCGCACGTTTCTCGATTTAGCGAGAATCTGATTAACAATTGTTGCACTTGCCGCAGTCACTTTAACTGGTCTCACAGCCTTGCCAGGTTTGAGCTTTCCGACTCTACTAGCTTCGATTCTGGGTTTCTCTCCGATTGCTGAGAACACTTCACTGACCACTGTGCTGAGCTCCTCATTGTCTTGCTCCGATAAACCATAAATCATCAGATTTTTGTTTCGGTCTTCCTCCTGTACCACAGTTTTCACAGCTTTCTTGATCATTTCAGAACTGACAGGCTTCTGAGATTCTGGACAATTCGCCTGTAATACCGAGCTGAAGGATTGGAATTCAGCCTTGACAGACTCTCCGACTGACGATTTAACTGACGTCTGCAACAATTCCAACTGTTCATTTTTGCAGGCTAGTAGTTCTGACTGCAGCTTAATGATGGTCTCCTGTGTCTCGAACATAAGATGTTTGTCTGAGTTTGAGGCCATCTTGTAGTCCGTGGATACGACACCAGTGAACTCCTCCAAATATTTTAATGCCTCGTGCAACAAGTCACACGCAGTGTCCTTGTTCATCTTCTTCACGCGCGAAGGGGATAGTTACCCAATTGCTGTGATCTCCATCTCGTTCATAGCCTTGCTGAGAAGTTCAACTGAGTCACCCCTTAACATGTTGATCTCCTTTTCACCATACTCGTTGGGCGGGATGGTCATGGTCGTGTAACACAGTGATACACAAACCACTGTAGCTGCACATTACAATCAACAGAGATAAGCACTAAGATAAGAGAGTAAGAAAAGAGCAACGTATGCAATTAGTGTAATACTGATCTTTCAATTTAATCAAGTGATTTGGTAAATGTCAAATAGTATATATATTGGGGGGGGGGGGGGGGGGGGGGGGGGGGGGGGGGGGGGGGGGGGGGGGGGGGGGGGGGGGGCAAAAGTCAGTACCCATACGTTGGCCTTAATAGCTCAGTCACCGAGTGCCCAATTGAAATAATTCGGTTGCCGAATTTCCAAATTTTGGTGACGGAATCTTCGAACAAGTAGGTACAGTATGCCATTTGCAAAGCAACAACTCTCAAATATAATACACGGTGGTGGTATAAGACCCAACGTATGGGTACTGACTTTTGGCCCCCCCCCCCCCCCCCCCCCCCCCCCCCCTGTACGATAAATTAAAATAAGTGATGCAATTGGCAGAGCACAATCGTAAATCCTGAGCTATAGAAATAATCTAGAAATGTTGTGCTAGTATGATACAATCAAATGGAATTTGTAGGGTCAATCTGATTTTGGGAGGAGTTAAAGCAGAATTTTGCTGAAGAACTGTCCGGTGTAAAAGAGATGCTTAAGGAAATCTTGCCAAGTAAGCAAAACAATGCTCTAGCAAAACCTCCAATGACTCCCTGCAACCCATGGGATGATTCTCAGAGGACTGAGAAACTTCGCAGCATGATTGTAATTAAGAATGATCAGTCACCAATTGATAAAAGTATGTTGGAAGAAAGCTGCATCAAGAATAAGATTAGTATTGTTAACACAATGAAGCTCAAATCTAATGATACTGCCGTTATTCTTAACTCTAGGTCTGAGGCAGAAACATTGCGTGAGAAGCTTAGCAAAGCTTCCCCCCAACATAGTACATCAACCGTAGCCACAAAGTTACCAAGAATAACAGTTGTTGGTCTTGAGCGTGATTACTTGAAGGAGGAAATAAAGGAAATGATAGTTAGTCAAAACCATGGAATAGATCTGCTCATCAATGATCCAGGTACCAGTATAGAAGACAAGAAAATTGATGTAGTAGCTATAGTACCCCTAAAGAATGACCAGAACTCCTTCAAAGCCATTGTTCGTGTCAGTAATCTTGTACGATCTGCAATTGCTAAACAAGGTGATAAGCTCTTTATTGGAACTCAGAGAGTTTGCAAAGTCTATGATAGCTTCTTTGTCCTCAGATGTTTTAACTGTCAATCATTTGGTCACCATAGCAAAAGTCACCAAGGTCATTGCAAAAGTGAACATGTCTGTGGCTTTTGTGCAGGAGCACATGAAACACGGACATGTGATCGCTCCGCTCCATTGTGTTGTTCAAACTGCAAGAAAGCTGGTAAGCATGGCAATGAGCTTCTACATGCAGCCTATGATCCTGTTTTGTGCCCCATATTCAAAGATTTGCAGGAGAAAGTTAAAAAGACCACCCCTTTTTACCAAAGCCACAACACGGACAGAAATCACTGAGCTGTCTGAAATTCTTCCTTTTCAATCCATGGTCACTTGTTAACAAAGTAAACGATATTATGTGCAACTTATCAGACAAAAGCATTGATATTGCTGCATTCTGTGAAACTTGGCTAACAGATGTTAACTGCCCCACCACTGCAATTATTAAGTCTTACGGTTACAGAATCATACATAATTTCAGGAAAGACAAAAAAGGTGGTGGAACTGCTTTGTTGTTTAGGGGAGAATACTCAATGTCTCAGTTCCAATGCTCTGCTACTTTCTCTACATTTGAGTACACAGCTGCATCAATCAAAACAGCAACAGGCACTAAGGTCATGTTTGTCTCTTTGTATCGACCTGGTTATCTCTCCTCTATCTTTCATCAGGAACTTGATTTACTTCTGTCAGCCATCACCATGAAGTGTGATTGTCTCGTCATTGCTGGGGACTTGAACATTCATTTTGAGAATAAGAATGACAAGCTTGTTAGGAAGACGCTTTACTTATTTCTGTCTTACGGATTTAATCATCATGTTAATGAACCAACCCATGTTGCTGGTGGATCACTAGACCAAATCTTCTGCTTCTCTATCAAGAATCAGCTTCAATGCAAGGTTTTGGTTGATAGTGTGAATAGGCATGGATCAGATCATTTTCCAGTCTATTGTGACTTCTCTTTGGAATTCGAAAAGAAATATTTTAAAGATATCACTTACAGAAATTTGAAGACTGTGGATGATGACCAATTTACCAGTGATCTCTTCGATATAGTAAACTTGATTGATCTTGGGAAAATTGGAACTACTGATATGAGTGCATCTGTTGCCAACTTGAACGACTTGTGTGCTGAACTCCTAGATGAGCATGCTCCAATAGTCTCCAAGAAGGTTTCTGTTATTGATTCTGCACCTTGGTTTGATAATGAATACAGGGACTACAGAAAGCTGAGAAGAAAAGCCGAGGCAAAAACTCGTAAACCAACAGCAACGCTTGAAGATAAAATCATGTTTAGAGACATCAGCTCAGAATGTTCTAAAATGGCTGATCTGAAGAAGAAGGAGTACTTTAAGAATATGGTAGAAAACTCTAAAGGCAACCCAAGAACTTTGTGGCAGCTGGTCAATAGAAATTTAGACCGTAAACAATCTAATCCTCTGCCAGATTACACAGATGATCTTCCAAAGCTAGCAGCAGACTTTAACGCCTACTTTACATCTAAGATTGATAACATTAGGAAAGATATGGATCATGATCGGTTTACTCTTCCATCAGACTCTTCTGCTGAAGCTCCCGAATCCTACCACTGGTCTACCTTTGAACCTGTCACATTAGATGAGCTAAAGGAAATCATTGACGAGTTTGGTATCAAATGTTCACCTTCTGACATCTTACCTACTACACTGCTTAAAGAGAACATCAGCATTCTGCTACCATTACTTCTACAGATTGTTAATGCATCCTTATCTCAAGGTTCAATGGACGGAGTCAAACTTGCTGATATTGTTCCCCTCCTGAAAAGTAACTCTCTTGATCCTAATGTCTTGAAAAACTTTCGCCCTGTCTCAAACCTCACTTTCCTTGGGAAGCTAATCGAGAGAGTGGTGTTAAAGCGCCTAAACGATCACTTAGATAAGCATAATCTCCACTGCCCAGAACAGTCTGCATACAAGAAGACCTTCAGCACAGAAACATTATTGATCAGAATATGGAATGATCTTCTAGTTGCATCAGATGAAAAGAGTGCTACAGTTGTCATGATGCTTGACCTATCGGCGGCGTTTGATACTGTAGACCATGATGTCTTACTGAACATTCTCATGAAGGAGATAGGACTAAGGGGCACTGTGTTAAAATGGTTTACTAGCTTTCTAAAAGGTCGTGCTCAGAGAATTCGACTTGGTTCTACTCTCTCTGAAGAAATAGTTATTAAGTTTGGTGTTCCTCAGGGCTCAGTTCTGGGACCTGTTCTGTTTAACCTTTATATCAGATCCATCTATAGATTTGTACAAGGAATGGACTTCACAATTTATGGGTATGCAGATGACCACCAGATCTTAAAGAGATTTAAACCCATCAACCAGTGCGAAACGTTACTCTCTAAGCTCAGGGGATGCTTTGCATCTATTAGAGCTTGGATGAAAAAATACTTTCTAGCAATGAATGACAGTAAAACACAGATAATCGTTTTTGGTCCTATGTCCGTCCTACGAGAGATCAATATAAAGGGAGTGAATTTTGGGAGTGACACAACTATTCGATTTGTGAGCACAGTTAAGAATCTTGGGATACATATGGACTCTGGGCTTACTATGAGCAACCATGTTGTTGAGTTGAAGAAGAAATGTTTCCTAACACTACGCAACCTCACTAAGATACGGTTTCTGCTGACTACAAAACAGCTTAAGACAATTGTTAATAGCCTCGTTGTTTCTTGTTTGGACTACTGTAACACCATGTTTTACGGCATCTCCAAGTACCTCATACATCAACTACAGCTTATTCAAAATGCCTGTGCAAAAGCAGTAACTGGAAAATATAAATTTGATCACCTAGGCGACGATCTTGATAAATTGCACTGGCTTAATATACCTAAAAGAGTGATTTTTAAAATATGTCTCCTATCTTTTAAGGCTATTAATGGAATAGCGCCACTGTACCTTCAAGATATGTTTAAGTATGCTCACCATGGACACACTGTTAGGCTCATAGTCCCTTATCGTTCAACCAAGGGTTTTGGTGATCATAGTTTTAGTGTGGTTGGTCCACGAGTTTTTAATGCACTACCAGACTCAGTTAAACAATGTTATTCTGTTGAGGCGTTTAAGTCCGCACTGAAGACTTATTTGTTTACTTTATCTGACACTGAGGTAGCAAAAATGTTTTATTAATAATTTTAACCCTCTCTTTGACTTATCTAAATTATATTAGCTTTTTGGAAGTTTTATGAACGAATTTATACATAGAACTTTATTTTGCTTTTGATATATAGTTTTAAAAGTATTTTTGTAAACTAGTTGTAGTGACACTGCTGAGTAAAAGTGTACGCTTAATAGTGGTGTTTTTAAATTTCAATTTTAATTAATTAATTGTGGCATTGTGCACTGACCAGTGCAGTATTTTAGTGGAAATCTGAGCTCCTACAGTAAGCTGTATTTTCTTCATTCACAGAGAGAATTGCATGGATTGCTCTAGTACTACTGTGGTATTAAATTTGGTAGTGTAGAATTTTGAGACTGCAGGTCAATCCCAAAACGTAAGATGAGTCTTTCTTGTGCACAGCACATTTAAAAACAAAGCCTTTTAACCTAAGAAAACTTTAGCAGTTTATCTTGATCACAAGCAGATTTTTAAAATGTTACTTTGCTTTCCTATATGCATCCTTGTACTCTGTTAATTGCAACACTTGAATTGATTGTGCTCTGCCAACTGCATCACTTGATTTAATTACTATGTTGTTGTATATATTGTTTGAATGACCTTTTATACTTAAACTAGAAAACCCGTGGTCACAGGGAGGAAGCTGATAGTATTTTTTGTTAGTAAGTTTAAATCGCGTCAAAAAATATCCTACACAACCGAAGATACAGCCAATTAAAATGTTGTTTGTACTAAACACAGCGTAATATCAACAAAACCGATAAAAATGACGTTTGAACAATCATTGCACGTGCGTGTAACTGTGTAATAACCCTCGTTACCATGCAGTTACTACGCAAGTTCATATTTTTCGTTTGATTTGCACGTGGGTGGTCGTACAGTGTACATACAGACAGAAATAATTCTTTGAATTATAGTTTTAACGGCCAGGTAGCGCAGTTGGTTAGCCAGCTTTGCAATCGTGAGGTTGCGGGTTCAAATCCCACTGCCTGCCTGGTCGTGGGGTGAGTGTCGTTGACATTCAGCTAAGGATCGAGATCGTGAGTGGTCTATGCAGCCCCCCGGTCTACTCAGCCGAATACTTGAGAAATCGGGTGTGAGGGTTAAATGAGGAGCTGCACATTGCAGCAAAGTCTTGGGCGAAGAAAGTATGGTACACAAGTCTACCTTAACCGTCACTGGCTAAAAACAAATCCTTCGGCTTCCTGTAATTGGCTGGTTGCACTTGTGTAACAATCCCACATCCAGAAACACGCCATCTTGCCAGGCAGCCTGGGAGGAAATAAGAGGAAATAGAGGAAATTTTTGAGAAAAAGAGGAAATTTTTGAGAAGTTATTATATATTACTCCTAAATTTCAAAATATTTTTTTGGAATAAAGACAAATTAATTGAGGAAATTTTCGATTGTATAAAAATCAAAGAGGAACATCCTGTCAGTTTTGGAACACAGTGAAATATTCTGATTGGAGAATGCAGATTGCTGTTGTGAAGTTACCAAATTTACGTGAGTACTTGATTCTTTTCAATCCCAGTTTATTGCTGTCCTACAAATTTCTTTAATGCCAAATGTCGTCTAAAACACCCTATTTCGCAAAAAAATTCCGGGGGGCTGCGCCTCCCTAGCCCCCGCGGGCCACAGAAAAAAAGGGGCCACAGAAAAAAAAAGGCAAACTTGCGAGCGAAGCAAGCGGGCCACAGAATTTAGAAAAAACGCATCTGGGAGGAAATATAAAACTTTCTGGATGTGGGGTAACAATATGGCTGTTGGAATACTCCGAAGTAAAATAAGTGTCTAGATTACAAAAAGTAGAGATACTTAAATTTAACTGTGCTAAACATTTTCAACAGAAAATGTATTATTGTCTATTTTAAGTAACTACACATTTTTTTTTTCTTCACCGAGCCGTCAGTGTAACCAACAATGTGTCCGCTTTATGGAGGAGCGGAATCTGGACTAGGGCTAGAGAGCGTTGGAGTATTTCCGTTTTGAAGGATTGTGAGAGGTTGAGCAAAGCTGGTGCTATGTCTAATAGGTCAAGAGGTGGTAGTATCTTCTTGAGCTGGTAGGAGAGAAGGATAGAGTGAAATTTAAGCTTTCCGTCTCTAAGTCCGTTGGTGGCTGACAAATTGATGTTAAGCCTGAGAAATGGAGTGAATCCTAAGGTCAAGAGGAGGGAGTTCAGTGAGGACCTCTAGGTAGCAGGTCGGTGAGGAGGAGATGGCTCCTGTGATCAGGAGTAGAGCTGATCTATGGTTTGAGTCCCCATTTTTTGCTTCATACGGATCTTATAGTGTGCAGGTTTCTGATAGCTTTGTTGAAAGTGGCATCTATGTGGTGTCTCCTGAGAAGCTTCAAGTCGAGGGTTATACCAAGGTACTTAACCTCATTTTTAATGATCTTTTGGTTAGTATAATTTTTCGCTTCTTCTGCAAGAAAACAACAATTTTTCAAGAAAACAACAATTTTTTATTTAAATCAATTATAGCAACAATTTGAAAAACTTTAGTTCTTCTATTACCATGGAATATACAACGGGTATGGTGACTTGGGCTATTGAGTTGTTAAGTAGATTAAGATTAGTAAACCTGCACTTGCATTGTATTTATAGAAACTAGAAATTAGGCTTCACGGTAAAATGGAGAAGCAGGCTGATCTTGGAGAGAGCAGACCGTAAAGTTTACGCACCCACCAGGGCTACCTACCTACCCCAGTTGTTCTTTTTGGTTTATCAGCTTGTATTGTTATATTTATGGACCCCAAGTCACCACACTAAGAAGGAGTATGTAAAAAATAAATAAATAAGTTAAGTTAATCTCATCATATCAGTTTAAAACAGTAAATGTTAAGTTGAGGATTGAATTTCCTAGTTAATTTAATGGTTCAAACGTTTGGGAATATAATAATGTTGGTATTTGTATCTGCTGCAGCAATATCGATATGTCATTTGTCTAGAAAATTTTCGCCACTTAAATAGATATTGGGTCGGCAATTTGGTGAGTGAGTGATGAACTGGTTTGGTCTGTGACTGAGTGAGGGGCGATGTGAAAGTTGTGGTAAGTCCAGGTGTTATTATTGTTGATGGATTGGGATCCCAGGATGATACTTTTACAGCGTAATTTAACCAAAGATACAGAAGTAGTGAGGATTTCCCCATTCTCATTTAGAATCCGTTTATGTATGCTATTCCACAATTTGGAGGCTATATAAAGAAACGTGTTGGTTTTTCTTGGGAGGATTATGACATTACTTGTATCACGTTTTGATGAGTCTATAGTACAATACAACGAGTATGGAGTGCGAAATTTCATAATTCGAAATATCTCAGATATACAGTGGTATTTGTACAAGTTTTGAACAGTAAGCAATTTTAGTCGATTAAAAATGGGCTTGGTGTGCTCCTTTTCGAAAAAAGCAGCTCCTAACCTCTGTTTTGTATAAGGTCTGGCTCGTGCACAAGTGGCATGTTTGTCAAGGTATGCATTTAGGTCTCCAAAAAGGATTCTTATACAACGTTTCTGAGTTATGAACAGCTTATCGTTTGGTTGGTCTTTGAGGGCTGAGCCCCAAACACTTATTCCGTAAGCAAGATGTGATTCCAATAATGCAGAGTATATTTTTTGGTAGTGTTCCCCTGGAACTGAATGTTTAATCCTGTTAAGTGCTCCTGTAGTGGACCTAATTTTTTTTCTTAGATATTCTATATGTGGGCCCCAGCTAAGTTTTTCATCAATTACTACACCAAGAAATTTGGTGTTGCTAACCTTGACAATTTTGTGTCCATTTATAAATATTCCTTGTGATTTGTCATATTCATTGGCATACGGCCTAACTCTGGCGCAGGTTTCATCAGATTCATATGCAGGTAGAAAATGTATGTAGCAGCATTTAGACATATTTATATGTAAGAGATTACTTCTCATGAATTTGCATACGAAATCAAGAACTTTATTGGCCTTCAAGTATGTTGATTCTTTGGACGGTCCAGTGATAAATATATTTGTGTCATCAGCATAGAGCACAAATTTGCATTCATCGCCTTTGTAACAGTTTATTATGTCGTTCATATATAATAAGAAAAGTAGAGGGCCTAGTATGGAACCTTGGGGAACTCCATATTTTACATTCATAGTCTCTGATGTAGTGTTGAGAAATGAAACATACTGTGATCTATCGGATAAATAGCTTTTTAGAAGTCCTAGAGCTAGACCTCTAACCCCATAATTTTCCAGTTTCCTCAGGAGAATGCCATGGTCAAGAGTGTCAAAAGCTTTGCTTAGGTCAATAAAGATTCCTAGAACATGATTACCACTGGATGTTGATGTTGTGATTGAATCAACTGATTTGTGGAGTGCATGTGAGGTTGAGTGGCCTGCGAATATCCCTTTAACAGTTCTTTAATCATCCCATTACTGATAATTCTTTAAATGGATTTGAGAAGAATAATAATGTTTAATGTAATAAATTAATACCTACTTTTCAGTGGTAGACTCATGATAAATGTCCTCTTTACTAACTATCGTGGAGAGAATTGACTGAGCTATGAATGTGGAAATAAAACGATCTAATGAACGAGTCCGAGCAAAAAATAACAGGCAGCAATTCAGGAACTTGATCGAACATCTAAACAAATATGTGTATGACGAGAGGCTCAACACAAATAGATGCTTGTCAATGACAACCTCTACTCTGCAGCTCATCAAATATCTCGAAAAAACCAAATGTAAGAAGATCCTTGATGAAATAACTAACTCGAACAGTGAAGAGCTGTATGTTGATGTTGAGACTTTTGACACTATTGATAACGAGTTGTCTCCAGCAGTTATCAGCTTTGCAAAACAGTCCAAATTTTTGATGGAAGAGTTCCCTATTGATCTTTTGATGAATGTCTGGAATTTAGCGGGAATCGGTTTTGAAGAATCTGGAAGAATTTTATACACATCTCGGAATCTCTTAAACCGGCTTGGGTTGATAGAACCGATTGTTGGTGAGGACATCAAGGTGATACTAAGTCATGACAGTAAAAGAATCCTAGACAGAGTTTTCAAGTGTAAAATCTTGCGATGGGTTGGCTACATTGATGTACAGAAACCATCTGGGAAAGAAGCTGTCAGTATTCTATGGAATGGCAAATTACTTACTGATTCTAATGGTAAGCCATAATTACACAGTAACAATTTATATATTGTGTCTTTAATACTTTATTTCTGCAGAAATATTATTTCCTTTAGTTGGATGTAAATCTAGTACAGACTACAGTGCACAGCATTTTTGTCACCCTGATTGAAAAGACCACCAAAAATGAGCAAATTCCCCAATATCTCAGTTTGCAATATTTTTGCACGAAACTTTAACTGTAAAAAGTATCACTTGTTGTGTTTCTAGATATTAATTTTTCAGGAAACAAAATGTACCTCGGATATCTGGAAATGAAAGATGCTATTTACTATAACCCCGGAGGAATTTTCTGGAACAAAGAAGTTTTGGTAAGTGCTGATTTCACCCTCCTTACACGACACTTCTACATCGATCAGCTCTTAGGTTATGATAAGTTTGATGCTGATGATATCTTTGCCCATGTCCATCCAGTGGACCTAATTCAATTACAAGATCTCGACAAGCGACTACTGGAGCATGGTTACTCTGAGCATGTTTTCAGACTGCTCTGTAAATCGGAGTCTGCGGACGATGTCAGGTGGCTCATTACCCTGACAAAAATGTATCCTTTTCAAACGCAGTCAGGAGATATGATTCTAGTTACATACAGCTGGCCATTTGCTTTCTCAAAATCCACTGATTGTCTACAGGACAAAAGTATTGTTGATCATCTTGAGTTTATACAAAGTAATGATGCCTGGCTGTCTTTGATGCCAAGCTTCATGACCAATAGTACGAGCCCCTCACAGAAACTTGACTGAGGAAGTTGAACAGGTTTGAAATTGGAAGATTTGTCTGCAGTGCAGCCAAGGTAACTGCAGTGGAGTCACTTTTTCATAACGTGCTGTTAAAAGAGATCTCAAAAGTTAAAAGAGACCTTCATCTCTAATTTTTTAGAAAGATACCTGTATCCAAAATATTGATTGTAAGCATCATAGTTCCATAAAACTTTACACTTTGCTGTGACCATATTATGTTGTTGTGGATCTTTTTGTCACATAACTACAGTACAGGAAATAATAGGTGACCACTTCCTTAACTCGTGTGGAAACAAGTCACAAGACTTAATTGCTGGTTTTTTATTGTACAATACTATCGCCTTAGATTTCACGGGTCAGCTATTGTCTCCTGTACTGTAAGCCCTGTTTGTGTACTAGATATTATCCAGACTAGATTATATAGTGGTGGGTTCACGGTTAAATAATAAATACCATGTTTAATAAACAAGGAATTGGTTCAGTGGAAAGTATTTATTGATAATATTCAGTGCATAGCCATATAAATGTGCTCATCGTCTGTTTCATTACATTGAGCTTAATGTTGCTGAATGTAACAATTTAATATGTTGAAGAAAAAGTTGAGTAATTAAACCTACTCATTTTAAATGGTCAACAAATGATTTTTTGCCAAAATATAAAAACGTTTTGTATGTTGATGACTCAATTCTGGTTATTGATTTTGAAGTTTGTTAGAATGAACACACTTTGTATGTGTTTTAGTAACATGCAAGCGCACGCTTGTAGCTTTTTACCTAGCTTTATAGTTAAGTTTATACTTGTTTATCCAATCACAGCCGAGGAGAGGGAGTCTTGTATTGAACCTTATACCCTTATAATATTATGTAGTGAAAATGTATTCTAAATTGCCATCAAATGATGCAATTTCTAAATATTCGATATCTGACATGGGTTTCAAGGCTATTTCGTTTCCTCGATATTCAGCAGGGGAGTTTTATCATTTCATCCTCTTTGCAGTCGTTATTGCGGAGGACTTTCTTCTGTTCAGGGGTGTAGGAATGATTTTCTTCATGAGGGGGCCAAAATAACTGAGCAATTTGGCAATAGAGATCATTTTCAAACACAGTTTCAAGAACGATTCAAATGATACGATTTTAAAGGTATGTTAGGGCCTGTAAGCAGCTCTTGATCTTGCGAAATAAGTTTTGTTCGAAAAGGGATGCATATTGTATTTTCTCGAAAAAAAATTCAGGAAATTTGCATCCAGAATCGAACTCTAGCAATGTGAAATGATAAATCCAGCAAGATTTTGTTGTGCCAATTTAAGGGTCAAAGGAAAATTCCTGCAAATTTTGAAAAATATGCTTACAGTATAGTAATAGGTCTCACTCTCAAAGAGGGAGCAAGGAGGGAGAATCTGGAACAATTTTTGGAAAATTTGTTTTAAGGAATGAATTCTAGCAATGAGGAATGTAAATGTAGACTACAAGGGGCAACTATCGTGCAGTTAGACTGCATTTAAGCAGGATAGGCCAAATAAGGCCCCCCATCTTCCTACACCCCTGCTTCTGTTTGACTACCTGCTGATATCAAAGTGCTTGGAAAACAATTGAAAATATATACATTTCAGTTCAGAAATGATTGTTATGCATAATATATGGGTGTTATAATTCTATTAAGGGGGGGGGGGGGGGCCAATGGGTATTTTTTTGTGAAACTTGATTTCGAGATAGCAGTTGACCAACAAACTAGGACCAGTGACCGAACTTTTGAGGGGGTCCCGGACCCCAACCGCCAAACGGTGCGCGCAGGGCAGCCACGCCCATATTTGGTCCAAATTAGGCCCAATTTAGCCAAATACCCTGTACATGCCCCAAACCCAGGTTTATGGTGCTCTACTTGTAGCTAGTGGTCTCCTGAACTCGTATATGAAATTTCATCAAGATTGGACAAAAAATGACTGAGTTATGAGCCAAAAACCATATGCCCATATTTGGGCATACGCACCAAATTTGGTAGATTTCGTCCCATAAATTGGTCAAATATCAATATTTTTGAATGAAACTTACTTTATATGAAAGGTAAGCCTAAACTACATATTCTCTGTAATTTATAGCTTTATATCTGTTTAAATGTGGATACTAAGGCGAAAAAAACCACAAAAAATGAACTAAATTGCCCATATCTCGGTTCGCGATATTCGCGGAATTGATCTCACCAAAATTGTAACAACTCAATCAGTTTTCAAAATTTTTGCATGAAATTTTTGGAATCGACTCGAAATCGCATTTCGACCTTATTTTAAGAACGGATTTTTGATTTAGGCCTCAAAAAAAATTTGGCGGCCAAATTCCAAAATTATATTACAGAAATTCAGAATTTGGCCGCCAAATTTTTTTGAGGCCTAAATCAAAAATCCGTTCTTAAAATAAGGTCGAAATGCGATTTCGAGTCGATTTCAAAAATTTCATGCAAAAATTTTGAAAACTGATTGAGTTGTTACAATTTTGGTGAGATCAATTCCGCGAATATCGCGAACCGAGATATGGGCAATTTAGTTCATTTTTTGTGGTTTTTTCGCCTTAGTATCCACATTTAAACAGATATAAAGCTATAACTTACAGAGAATATGTAGTTTAGGCTTACCTTTCATATAAAGTAAGTCTCATCCAAAAATATTGATATTTGACCAATTTATGGGACGAAATCTACCAAATTTGGTGCGTATGCCCAAATATGGGCATATGGTTTTTGGCTCATAACTCAGTCATTTTTTGTCCAATCTTGATGAAATTTCATATACGAGTTCAGGAGACCACTAGCTACAAGTAGAGCACCATAAACCTGGGTTTTGGGCATGTTCAGGGTATTTGGCTAAATTGGGCCTAATTTGGACCAAATATGGGCGTGGCTGCCCTGCGCGCACCGTTTGGCGGTTGGGGTCCGGGATCCCCTCAAAAGTTCGGTCACTGGTCCTAGTTTGTTGGTCAACTACTATCTCGAAATCAAGTTTCACAAAAAAATACCCATTGACCCCCCCCCTTAAGAGATGTGTTATCGTTGTATGACTTTTGTTATACTTCTTTTGAAGTATTTTTGGGAGCATTTCGGTATAGCTATAAATTATGAAGCAGTGTGCACTGTGCGGTAGTTGCACAGACTGTTTAGGTACTCTTAATAAAGTTATATGCCTTTTAGTTCAGAAATGGGGGTGGTGACATGTTCGCTAATGTCACATTATCACAAAAAGGACTAGGGCATTAGCGGACATAAACAGATATTGACGGACATTTAAGCGGACATAAACGGATATTGACAGACATAAGCAGATATAATGTTTTTCCTTCAGCGGATAATTTTGGTCCTGCATTTATTTTTCGGAACAAAAATTTTTTTGATACTTTTACTATTTGAGCTACTGATGTGATTAGTCGAGATTTCAAACATGTTTATTTAAGCGACAGTAAAGCAGTAAGCAACAAAACGGATCGTAGTGAACACTGAACCCAAACTACATTTCTTATTTAACGCACAATTAAAAGTTACAGTTGAATGGTTAAAATCATGATATCCATTCCGTAATAGACCCTGAGTTCTCCAAAATCGTGTTATTTCTTCACAATAAACGAAGCTTATCATATATATAAGCTAGCAGATCTACTCTGAAAGAGATGACAATGATATTTCCATTGTCATTTAACGGCTATTTAGTATTCATGGTCTATTCTCAAAGAAATGGTTAGGAAGATGAGTGATGGAAATTATTAATATGCCATTTATGTCTCATCCAATTATCGTGGAGAGCAAAAAATGATATAAGTAGTAGCATGGTTCACCAATCACCATGCTATTACTAACCCCAACTACTCTCCCCTCAACTCCTCCTAAATACCCTATCTTTTATAGGGATGCCACACCCTAGAGGCAGGCAAACCATTTTCTTGCCATCTTCTCATGGGCCCTTCCGTCCAGCCTATACAAAATATTTGTATACAAGCCGACTAAGATATACTTTATCACTTATCAGTCATTCATAATTTCTATGTCAACTTTTTAATTTATCCTAGACTGCTAAAGGCCGAAATATGTGTGCTAATTTCCAAAGAAATGTTGTCCGCTTGTGTCTCTTTTAATCCGCTTATTTCCGCTCATGCCCCAACAAACAGGTCTGCTCATGTCCCATTATCTCATAGAGCCAAAAAGGACAAGGACATTAGCGGACGTGTCACCCCCTCCCCCCACCCAGAAATGATTATTTTTGGCGTCTTATTCTATAAAGAGATGTTTAATCGTTGTATGACTTTTGTTATATTTCTTTGGAAGTATTTCGGAAGCATTTCGGTATATTCATATATAAATTGATGTAGTTCGATAACTGTTTTAGGACTCTTATCAACTTCTAAGGCTGTTTTTAATGGCAATGCAATGGTTGAAATTAGTTGTTCTTTAATGATTTAATATATCATCGATGCTGATCTGTAAAAAAATAGGTAAATTCGTGTTTGAAATGTAGTTTGATAACTGCTTGTACTATTATCGACTTCAGGAAGCTGTTTTTAATGGCAAAGGTTGGAATTAATTGTTACGGTTCCTTAAGGATTTAATATCTCGAACAAAGAGGTAAATGTATTTACGACATATACATGTAGTTTGATGACTGTTAAAAGTACTCTTATCAACTTCAAAGCTGTTTTTAATGGCAACGATATTGATGTTTCTGTTCTTTAAAAATGTAATATTGTTTTACGCTAATTTTCCATACAACTAATCAAATAATGAAATATTGATTCACTGCAGAGGAGAGTCCCTGAGAGCTTATCTTCAAAAACACATGGGATTTTGGGATTTCATGGTAAAAAAGTCATCAATAAATTAGCTTTGTGGTATTCCTGCTATGGGATTCGCACCAGACACCATATCATAGTTCAACAGGCTTATTCTACTGACTCAGAATACCATGCTCGAACGCTTTTTTATCCTTTAAAATCCATTTCTCATTATGACTGAGGTAAGGGCTATGTCTTCTAAGGCTCCTACCTGTCATGCACTTACAGTGCGGTAAAATTAGGGAATCTCAAAATCCCGATAATCGGAGAAAACACAGTATTGGAAGGTAAGCTTCAGGGAAACTAGTTGAAAGTCCTCTCATAAGAAAATTATAGATATAGAGAGGGAAAGAGAGAGAGAAAGATATGGTCCCTGCAGTTGAATGTGTAGAATATATTGTTGTCGCAAATGTTCCAGTTACAGAATATTGCAGACGTTACTTGTTCGATTATTAAATAAATATACACTTGTATCAGAAATAATGTTTTTGAACTGAGATCAAATTTTATCCCATGTTCTTCAAAGCTGCATGAACTTTTCGAGTTTTATTGTCTATCAACTTTTTCTCGAAAGGAAATAATAATTATCAATCTTCAATAAACTACCACTTACAATTTTCTCATTTATGTTATCCATTAGTTAATACTAATATAATAATAATAAATTGAATTATAAACACTGCTTTTAAGTTGAAAAACTTTTACTCAGCTGTGTGAGAATAACTACAAAAGAACAAACTGAGATAAGTGCCACAAAAACTCTATCCTAAATTAACAGCCTTCCCGGCAATACACGATATAATAATATAACTCAGTAACCTAGAGTCTCGAGCTATTTTCAATAATGAAAAAATGATTTCGGTATATACATATATGTAGAACCGATAAAGCAGAAAATTGTTTTGCGGAAGGCAACTTAAGTCAAAATGTGTATCATACATATTTCACAAAACTAACTGTCGACTTTCATCACGTGTAGTGTGAATTTTTAAAAAAAACTTTGTCTCAAAACACAAGAAACTTTGTCGTAAAACACAAGAAACTTTGTTGTAAAACACAAGAAACTTTGTCGTGAAATACAAGAAACTTTGTCGTGAAACAAAAGAAACTTTGTCGTGAAATACAAGAAACTTTGTCTTGAAACACAAGAAACTTTGTCGTAAAACACAAGAAACTTTGTCTCAAAACACAAGAAACTTTTTCATTATACTGGACTTACTGTTCGTTCCGTATTTTTGGGCATGATATGTTAATGTGACCAGAATAAGAGTGAGCTAAGGACAGTGTGTCCTTACACGTAGTTTACTGTACACCTTATCAACATGAAGACACATCACACGCTTTGGTAAGGCCAATGTTTACATTCAAAACATAAGAGTTGGGCAGTGTTTTAGGGTCAGGGTTAGGGTTAACCATAACCATAACCCTAACCCTGTGCCAAGAGTTGTCCTGTCTTAAACTAGTCTACTGCAAGGTCAAAAGGAAATCGCGGCACGTGCGGAATCGCGATTTTTCCTATTCCCCGTGACAAATTTGTTAAGTGAGATTTGGAACAATGATAACATTGATCAATTGTTAAGACAATTAATCTATATTATAACTTTATAACATACCTTTGCGAACACTGCACAATATGGACAAACACTCATGAAGGTAAAGGAAATATTTCTATGAACATATTGATAGTGAAAAACTTATACAAAGAATGCCATAATGCTGGCAACATGCCACAAACTCTAAGTAGCCACCTCTAAGTCGTACATACAAACCAACTAGCAAGTCATTACCCTACAAACCAGTCTACCCCTAAATCATAATTCTATTCGTGCAAAATGCAAATCCATTATATTTCGCTGCGATT